CTCCCGCGTCCTCCATCTTCCCCCGCAGCAGTGCCGGCCTGATGGTATTGAAAGCGCTGGAGAAGTCGAAAAACATGACCCTCACAGCGCTCCCAGCGGGCTCCAGGTGGGAGAGCGTCCGCTGCAGGAAGTAGATGACGGCGTCCTCTACTCCGATGTTGGGTCTGTAGGCGAACTGCAGCAGGTCCAGGGTGGGGCTGACCACAGACCGGAGATGGGTGAGGATGAGCCGCTCCATGGTCTTCATCAGGTGGGAGGTCAGTGCGACCGGTCTGTAGTGAGCCGGTTCCTTGGCGTGTGCTGTTTTTGGAACTGGGATCACACAGGAGGTCTTCCACAGGACAGGGACCTTCTCCAGGCTGAGGCTCAGGTTGTACATGTAGCTGAGGACCCCAGAGAGCTGGTCTGCACAGGTCCTCAGCAGCCTGGGACTGATCCCGTCCGGTCCTGCGGATTTCCTCAGCTTCAGGCGCTGGAGCTGACTCCTCACCTGGTCCGGTGTGATGGAGAGGGGGGGGGGGGGGGGCTGGGGTGTACTGTCCGAGGTGGGGGCTGGGGATGCGGGGGCAGGAGGGCCCGGGGCAGCCGGAGGCAGTGTCCACTGGGCGGTGTCCACTGGGCTGGGGACGTGTGAAGAGGTGGGGGCGGGAGGGGGGCAGATGGAGAGGGGGGAGAATCAAACCGGTTGAAGTACTGGTTAAATTCGTCCGCCCGGTGCTGGTCTCCATCTGCTGTTCCTCTGGCACTCTGTTTAAAACCAGGTTAAAAACTGTTCTGTTTAGCTGTGCTACAACTGAGGGATTTTATATTTTTATCTTTCTTTTTAATGTACTGTGATTATTTATGATTTTAATGCTATTTTGTTCAGCACTTTGAAATGCCTTGTGTATGAATTGTGCTATACAAATAAACTCGCATTGCCTTACGGCACGGTTATTTTGCATTTCCACTAGTGTTTGGTATCGGAGTTTGCATACTTTTTTGTACCACCTCGACTGTGGTTCCAGCCACGCCGTACCGATACCATGACGTGACGTCGGCCTACTGCCTTACACTGATTGGTCAACGAGTGTCGTTACTGGAAGCGACGTCAGACCCTTTGGTAAAAACAACTCAACCGCCATCTTTTAAACTGGCTGCTCTGCTTCGGCTAAATTACGTCCTCCTCACTCCAGAGAAATGGAATCGCACAGAAAGCCGAAAGACGAGGTTCACACGTTCCTCTCTTCAGGCCGAAAGAATGAATCCAAAGGCAGCTCGAGGCTCAACACGGAGGTTTCACGAGGTTTTCAGGGAGATCGCTCTGGATTTGTGACTAGTCTGTGGTAATCCTGGAAATAACTGGTTAGCTACGTATCCCGTCAAAGCTCTCACTAAAATGTATTTACAATGTTTGATTGTCTGTTGTACACAGTGAGCTAGCTACATTTAGCTTCATTTATCTTTTGATAGCAGCTAAGCTAACGTCCTTCCTGTGGCACTGTGCTTTATCTCGTATTATCTGCAGTATTCACGTATTGCCATTCTGTTTTATGCTTGTAATCGTGTGTATATTTCTTTGAGAATCCCTTCCCACTAGTGAGGAGATTACAAACCAGCAATGAGTGACCAGAGAACTTAACATTCTCCTCATCTGGACTTGATCTCAGACATACGTACTTTGGACTTTGTAAACTGTTGGTTTTGGTTGGTTTTTTTATACTTGTCAGTAAATCCATATAACATTGGTAAATTTATGAACCAGGATGGAGACATTTGGTAAATACAAAAAGGTTTTATTTTTGGTCAAAATAAATGTTTAGGCATATGAAAAGCGCTGCATCGGATTGCCCTCCTCCTCTGCACCAGTGCTACACAGCTGCTGTTGCTACAGGTGTGTCCCATTCTGTCACAGCTGCTGTTGCTACAGGTGTGTCCCATTCTGTCACAGCTGCTGTTGCTACAGGTGTGTCCCATTCTGTCACAGCTGCTGTTGCTACAGGTGTGTCCCATTCTGTCACAGCTGCTGTTGCTACAGGTGTGTCCCATTCTGTCACAGGTCTCTCTGTGGTTCTCACAGATTGTGCAGAGCAGGTCGGCACCATTGACTTCACATGCTCTGTGTCCGAGTCATTTAACACTCCCAAAACCTTTTCAACAACCACTCACGCTGTGCTGAATTTTCTATTAAATACTTGCTGTTAGTCTGTCACTCTGTGTCCTGAAAAGGTTTTAGGAGCCAGTTCTGCAGGGGGTAAGCAGAGTCCCCTCAGAGGTAATAACCAGCTATCACCAATATTATAATAAATCCATGCACCGCACAAAATGTTACAAGTTACGCGTTGCTTGTAAATGACGTGGTCTGGCAACGCTGAGGAGATACTGGGAGGCACTATTTTTGATGAAATGATGATGGGCCGTGTTGTACCGTACCGTGTCGTACCGTACCGTGCTGTTACTGTGGAAAAGCGGCACTAGACATTGGTGCTATGTTATCAACAACAACCCTGCATCATCCACACGGAGCTGTGAATCTGGCCGTGCCTCAGAGCAACTATTGTTTAAATAATGACCTTTCCAGCTCTGTGCTTCTTTAGCATACTGTACTGACCTGAATGTGTAATCGGTTAAAAACCAGAAACAAATATCTAGTGCACCAAAAATAGTTACGATGCTGCCGCTTCAGCTGTAGTCTGCTTGATGGTGTAGTGGTCTGTAAACACTGTAAGAAAGAGCCCTGTGAGTCATTATTGGACACTTTGACTGAGTGAGGTTGTTCCTCTCTTTTCCATTTTTTTGTGTCTGAGGAAGATGATCTTTATTGTTGCATTTCTTGTGTATTTGCCAACTTTGTGTTGGCAAATTCAACTGTCTTGTAAAGTCCTCCGAGATACTACTGTTGTGATTTAGGGCTAGACAAGAATCAATTGAATTAAATTGAATCTGAAGATGAGACTGAGGCCAAAAAACCACTCATGTAAAAACTAGAGAGTTTAACTTTAAAATGTTGTACCCCAGCTTTAATTGTGTAAACATTGTGCTCTCTTCTTATTTATTTCTTGTTAATATCTAAGAAATGGTAAGTGTATCTAAAAAGTGCTAACATATTCTGCAATAGTTTTATTTTTTTCTTTGCAGAGCTATTGAGTACTAGCCTGACTCTCGCCAGACCCATGTAGTTCACTTCACACATGGGTCTGGGCTTCCTCCATAGCAGTTGGATTTCAGAAGGCGGGGCCTTGTATGTGATTGGATAAACCACTTGTCTGTGATCTTGAATGACGTCTTCCTTCAACCACTCACATCAAAGCACATGACTCCCATGGGTTGCCAAATGCCGGCAAGATTTTCCACCCCAAAACCCACGAGAATGCCAAAAAAAAACCACCCAGAATGAATTTTTGGCTAAAAACGTAATGTAATCAACTTGGGCTATCATGATTCTGTTTGTCTTTCTGTTTATTTAATACCTCTTAAAGAAAAGTATGCGGGAAACCACCCAACCTGGCAACCCTGCTGCGTAGTTTTGTAAACAGGAACAACTAAACTAGTGCTTAAACCAAACTTTACTCGAACAATTGACTCTTAAAACACACATATAACAACATTGGTCGTTTAAATAATCTGCTGAAGGAGTTGGCTATGGCCTCGATACCAGACCCATGTGGTTCAGGCAGACGCCTCTGGTGGAGCATGGCGGAACTACAAGGGTCTGGCGAGAGCCAGGCTAATTGAGTACTGCCTGAGAGATGACAAAATTTACTCAAAAATACCTGAAGGAAATTGAAAAGTGGTTCAGATTTTTGATGAGGGATTAATATTATAAAATGGCAGAAAGCTCATAAAAGTCGGTTCATGCTTAATACTCCCTTTCAAATGTGTATTCAGGGAGGCACCACTCCCACCCAATTTGCACTTTATAGGCTTCACACATCATACTGTTTTAAAGTATTATATGTTATGAAATATTTCTCATAGTAATAATTTTAACTCTGTCATGTTTCATTTATTTTTTATTTCTAGTGGGCAAAAAAATAGTAATAATTAACCACAAGCAACTTTGGTACATTTACAAAATATAACAAAAAGAGTAATGATACTAACATAACACTTAGATGACTTACATGCCAACATGAATCGAAGGAAAAGATACATAGAAAATATATTCTCTATGTATTCAGAATAGAAATACAGTAGTTTTCATATAATGACTGAAATCTGTGAATATCTTGGCATTGCATTAATTAAGGTTCACGCAACACTCTTAGATTAGTTTTTTTCTTCAAGCACAAAATATGTTTCACGTTTTAGATTGTAAAATAATACAGCTAGAAAACATATGATTATAGACTCAATTAGATGTGTGCAATTGATGAGTTGTTTCCTTCTTTCTCTGCTGATGTGATGACACTGAAATTTCTCCACTGCGAAACTAATAAAGGTTTATCTTATCTTATCTTATGAAACAAGCAGAACAAGAAAAGTAAGTAGAGTAAGTAAGTCATCTGTGTATATATATATATATAGACCTAGCGTTTTCATAGACCTAGGCCCCCCGAAACTCTACAATGTTCAGATGACGGAAGCAGGACGCCAAACACACGGGCAAATCAAAGCCCCTACCAACACCATCCATTCACTCACTCTCTCCATGAGGTCAGAAAAGAATCAAACAGTTCAAACACAAGAAATGTAATGATAAATAATACTTGGAGCCTTTAGTCCTTACAGGGCAGATGACCAATATCCATAAATGTGGTTGAATTTTTAGTGTCCTTGATCATCACCACTGCCCTTAGACCCTTCTGCATCTTCAGGGAAACTTTTAAAATCCCATCAGGAGAAAATGACAAACCTCGGGGAGTCCCACAATGAGGGAGAGATCAGCTCCCACAGACAGATGGGCAATAGATCCAGGACTCAGGCTCTAGAACGATTTATATACGTTATGGAGTCCGCACTTTTTCTGTAAATCATATTGAATTGCTTTGGGTGTTCTCTCTTCTTCAGACTCCCACGGGATGGACCTGTTTGCGGTAGCGGTGCATGAGTTCGGTCATGCCATCGGCCTCGTTCACACCTCGGCCATAGAGTCCATCATGAGGCCGTACTACCAGGGTCCTGTGGGGGACCCCCTCAAGTACGACCTGCCCTACGAGGACAAAGTGCGGGTGTGGCAGCTCTATGGTAAGATACTTTGATGAAATTCTTAATGATATTTTGAGACCATTTAACTGGACACGTAAATAATTGCTTATGTCTTTTTGGATGTAAATATCAACAAGTAATCAAAGAGACAGAAATGCACGGAAGAACAAGATTGGAATGGAGAGATATGTCTGAACCATCCTGTACAGTATGTCCAATGACGCAACACAAAGAAATCTGATAGTTATAGGAGGAGTATTGATTCAGGTTTTAAAATTCCAGTCATATCACAACAGCGGAATATGTGAGAGAAATGGTGAGAGCAGACACAGTGCTTTTACCGGCTTAAAAGAACCATTCTGTGTGGATTTTGCATGGTAGGTTTCCTCAGGATGCTCCGCTTTTCCTTCCCACTAAAAACATATGTAGGTCTGAATGCAGTGTGTGAATGAATAGATGACGTTGGTTGGAGGCATCGATTCAATAGAGCAGGGGTGTCCAAACCTACCCTTAAGGGCCAGTGTGGCTGCAGGTTTTCTATCGGACTAAACTGCACCTACCCTGGCCCTTGCTGGACCAGTTTGGGCACCCTTGTGTTCAGCGTCTTGCTTCAGTCATCAAAAATATTGGTACGCCAAAACTTTGTACAGCTCCTTGTGTGACAATGGTCTATGAAATGCGCTATATAAAGATGAATTGCTTACTTATTACTTACAGTGCCTTGCGAAAGTAATCGGCCCCCTTCAACCTTTGAACATTTTGCCACATTTCAGGCTTCAAACATAAAGATATAAAATTTTAATTTTTTTGTCATGAATCAACAACAAGTGGGACACAATCGTGAAGTGGAACGAAATTTATTGGATAATTTAAACTTTTTTAACAAATAAAAAACTGAAAAGTGGGGCGTGCAATATTATTCGGCCCCTTTACTTTCAGTGCAGCAAACTCAGTCCAGAAGTTCAGTGAGGATCTTTGAATGATCCAATGTTGTCCTAAATGACTGATGATGATAAATAGAATGCTCCTGTGTGTAATCAAGTCTCCGTATAAATGCACCTGCTCTTTGATAGTCTCAGGGTTCTGTTTAAAGCGCAGAGAGAACCATGAAGACAAAGGAACACACCAGGCAGGTCCGAGATACTGTTGTGGAGAAGTTTAAAGCCGGATTTGGATACAAAAAGATTTCCCAAGCTTTAAACATCTCAAGGAGCACTGTGCAAGCAATTACAGTTAAGATGAATTGCTTACTTATTACTTACTTAAAAATAAAAAGATTAATGTAAATGCAGATTAAAAGATGTATGCATATTGTTATTTGTGACATTTCAACTTTTGGGAAAAACATTTAATTTTGATAGTTAGTTATGATTTAGGATCAGTTATGGACATGTTGACATTGCACCGATATAAACTGTGTAAAAGAGTCAAATAACCAATGTCCATGTACGCTGGGTAGTTTTCAGACTAATTGTGATTTTATAGGGTTCAGTTAAAAATCGAGGTTTATGGCAAGAATAAGAAAAGACATTTTAAAATAATTGGTCTCATTTGTTCACACAGATTTGCCTTTAGCCTTTTTTCAGCACAGTCTGATGTTAACTCATGCGGCTAGAGTCTGGAACCGTCTTCCTGAGAATGTGAGACAGGCGTCTACTCTGGCATCTTTTAAATCTAGGCTCAAAACAATTCTGTTTAGCTGCGCATATACAACTGAATGATTTTATCTTTTCATCTTTGTTTTTATCTTTAATCTTTTTAATGCACTGTGACTATTTATGATTTTAGTCCCATCTGTGATTTTAATGTTTAAAGGTTTTTAATTTTTGTGATTTTATTTTTAATGTTTTTAATATATCTTGTGCTCTTAATGTGTTTGATTTATGCATGATGTGATAGGGGATGTGAAGCGCTTTGCGTTGCCTTGTGTAGGAAAGGCGCTCTACAAATAAACGTTGATTGATTGATTGATTAACTTTAGCTCCTGTGGCAAAGAGATGAAATGAACAATATAAATGCATACATATTATCACAATACCCACAATATTGAGAATAATATCGTCAAAACTGACAGAAATGAAAATCCCCCGATAAGTTTTGGCCTGCAAACAGGGACAGTGTATATTAGGCCTTTTAAACTTGTGGCTCAGGGGCCAAATCAGGCCCTACAAACACTCTAATCCGGCCCCCAGCCCAAGCGATCAAAATCTTGAATTAAGCAGTTTTTTATCTTGGTTCAGGTACATTTTGAAAACAGATTTCCAAATTCGACAAGCCAATTTATGTCAAGTTATAATTTGGATCAAAATAAGATGTAAAATCAAACTTAGAATATTAACCATTTAGCCTTTTTTGTAATTTGGTTTATTGTGTGTTTGAATGGTTTTTGGTTAAGTCTGGTTTATAGCTGGTTGGTAGTAGCCCTGGACAAGGTTTGCCCTAATGTTCCACAATTTCTGAATTTGATATTTTTATTGTTTTATATTCTTCTCATTTCAATGTTCAGTGGTAATTTGCACAATGGGCCCATTCGTAAAAAAAAGTTTAGTATTCCTGATATACACTTGTCTTGAAGCTGAAGCAAGATGTACGAAAGGATGTAATTGATAGCCCCATGATTTTGCCAATATCCCTCGTAACATTTCTTCTTGAGAAATGAAATACTCTGCAGTTGCATATTCACTTTGCTGCTCTTGTGTTTGTAAGGAGTGAGAGACTCGGTGTCCCACACGAACCGCCCCGCAGACGCCTTGGAGACGCCGGAGCCCCCAGTGCTGTTGGACCTCCCAGAGAACAGGAGCACTTTTCTGTAAGTTATAAACTAGCTTCATAAAGATAAGAAGGCATTTAGTTTGTGAATTTAAAAAAAACGGGGCCAATGAACCAGTTTTAAATCTCTGACAAATAATGAATCTGTATCTGTTCAATTATGCATGACAAATCCTCGAATATCTCTACAGCTCAGAGGAGTTTTCTTTCACAAACATGACTCAACTGTGGCTAAATACAAATGGAAATGCACACTCTTTTTTTCCCAGCAATGTTGAAATGTTATAGGATACTTAAATTGATATATTTGCAGGGCATGTTTCTCAGTTTGGACTTTGTGAAGTTTAAACCTGGAGTTTAGATACACCCAAAAAGAGAAACTATTCATTCAGGTTGAATAAAACTTGAATCCACATTATTTGTATAATGAGAATGATAGGCATTTCAACCTCAGAGGGTCAGGGCAGAGGTCTACATTAGGAGTCGACAGACATGGTGACAAGGTGTAATACAAGCTCCAATACTGAACTTTGTTTAAATGCCTGAAACATTAGTTTATCCAACAATAAAATAAAATAAAGACTTAATGCGAAGGATAGTTCTGAGTGGTGTTGTACTCGGATTATTGGTCGATATTGTTGTCGGTTGACTACCAGTTCAGTTCATAAACATCAAACCATTTGGGAAACTTCTCACAAGCATCTGGCCATAAACTGGTGGACGTTTTGGCCCATTCCTCCTGACATACCTAATGTTACTTGTAATTGACTCATCAAACCACCTGTATTAAAGCTGCACTAACTGACTTTGGGATTTTGAAGCCGCGGACTCGCTGGCCTCGCTCTTTCTGCTCCCCTCCCCGCACCCACGAAGCTATCGCCCCCCACACACACCCACTGTTGTTGAAGGAGCTAGCGTCTCCCAATATGTATAATACATGGACATGGATTTGCACGTGGATGGCGTGACCATAGAACGATAAAACCGGGAAGCGCGGAGGAACGAGACTTTCTTTTGGATGGCTGTCTCGCTGTGTAAGCAGAAACCGGTGACGAAGACGAGGAAGCTTCAGGTTAGCTCCGCCGCTTGTTGTGCTAACTCAGCCGTCTGTGCTATAACGGGGGACCTGTAGATTTCTCACGAAAGTGGGGGCCAGTGGTGCGCTGTGATTGGTCACAATCTGCGACCCGAAACACATTCTCTTCCTTGTTTCATCAAAACTCGATCTAAAATATAATGTCACGCCAGCACAAATCTGCGCTACTTTCTCTTCAAAAGGACGTATATCCCAATGCACTGCATGGACATTGATAGCATTTTTGTAATGAATACAAAAATAAAGTCAGTTAGTGCAGCTTTAAGAGTAAGCAACTAGTTATAGCCATAATTCCATTGGTTTAGGGTTTGAAGGTTAGGCATCCCATCTTTAAAAATTACATTACCATTGCATACAGTAATACAATTCCTCTCTTTGCTTCCTCGCTGACAACATATTGTCTTATAATACAGCAGCTATCCTTCCAGTGTCTCCTATATCCACACTGGGCTCCCATTGCCTGGACTGCTTACTCATCTATATCCTCTTTATAACATACCTCTGCTTTTTGCACATTATACCATTTTGCAAAGCTCTATATCTCTGCGCCTCACTCTCTCCGACCAATATAGTAAAAATAATAAAATAACAATGCCCCATGCAGTGACCTGAAACACACGGCCTCCCACTTCTCGAAGTCATTTATCATGAGACATCCATGTTCTACTGACCCCAGGAACCCACACGCAATATCCTTTCTTGCTAACTTTTCATTCCGGCTCCACCGAGATAACTTGGACCACGGGGAAATACAATCAATTTCAAAGCGTGGAATGTTGGCCATATATAGAAACAGGAAGAAAATTCTATATTAAAATTTGTGCTCCATCCCTGAAGACATCCCCCGCATTCGCAAGTGTTTACCGCTTAAAGACGACACGCTCTGCAGTAGTCAGTATTTAAATTAATTGGGATCAGAGGGGGCAGCATCCTTTAAGAGTGATCAAACTCGCATAGTTGAAGTGGAGCCCAAAGGATTAGTGGTTATCCTTTCACATGTTCGGATTAAACACATTGTCTGTGGTACGGCCCCTGCACATTGATTTGAGTAAACAACACATTCCCTTTGATGAGTTTTTATTTCTAGAATACTACAATGTTGTATTCACAGCATCACAGCAGTGGTGGTTTGATCTTTTACGCGTATTCTAACAATCAAACGCCTTCTTTTGTTGATTGTATGTGGATGAACTGCAGGGCCTTTACCGTTTCTCTTATTTTGACCTCAACCTTATATCTGTTTAGTGGGCTGCTTTGATTATCTTCAGTGTGTAGATGTTTGATCTTATAACAATGAACGGTCAATTCTATAGTCAATGATAGTTATAAAAATACAAATAAAAACTAAGAACGGTTTATCTATCTAAAAAGTAAGGCTGTCATATTTTGTCAATTAGTTGATTAATTCATTCATGGCATCCTTAAATATATTCCATCCATCCATCCAGAACGGCGCTGTATAGCCTGAGCTCTGGGTTGTAAACCGTCTGCTGCTAGAATCTGTTCTGAGAGAGAAAAACCCCCTCAATGTCATGAAATATAACTTCTCCTGTCATCATAGACACATCGTCATGTTACTTTTGCAAAATAAAAAATGATGTCTCTGCCGAGCTTTTGAAATCTGTTTACCGAATTATTCAAAAACACGTGAATGAAATTGAAAACCAGTTGAGGTTTTTGACGAGGGAATAATATTATACAAATGGTAGAAATCTCAGAAAAATCAATGTATGCATAAATACCTAAATACCCCTCTTTTCAAACATTCAGAGATGTACACCCAATTTGCACAGTTTACTTGACTAAAAATGTGGATTTATTTGATAAAAATATTCCCCAAAGTTGAAACCCTTACATTAAAATGCATTTCACTTTTGCATTTGTGTGTTCTTTTCCAATTATCTCCAGCAACATGAGATCAAAACATGAATATATTGTCCCGGGCGCTGCGCTGAGCCGTCATACTAATGCAGTTGAATGGGTTTCTTTGTTGACGTGTTGCTTCTCACAGTGCGGCCCTGTCACACTAATGGCCTGATCATTGGAAGTCTGTCCACAAAGCCGCGCTGAATCACTCTTGCCCTCAGGAGCTCAGCGGGGCGGTGTTTTAGCCAGTGCTTAGGTGCATCATAACATTCCAAGGAGCCAAAACCGGAAATTGTAATATCCTTCAAATGTCATGTATTTTATCAATCATCAAATCTAAAAAAAACAACAACCTATATATTTTTACTTGTACTTGAACATGTATTAATATCATAGAAAAGTTCATTTCCATCTGTTGTTCCTATAGGCAGATAGCACAAAAATATATTTGTAAACGGCATTATTTATAAACAGAATTGTTCACAGATTTGTTTGTTTTTTTCCACCTACAGATTAAGATGCCATGGCTTTATTTTCCTATATATAATGCATTTATAAAATAAAACTTGGTTTGGCTAATGTCATTCTGCATATCATGTAAATACGTCATACATTAGTTTCATGCTGTAGGTTGAATTATAGAAATAGATTAACTTGATGATATTCTGGCTTTCCGAGTTTCACCTGTAAGTTTATAATTGTGGTGGAGGGAAGCTGAAAAATCTTTCTTCGCAACTGTCAAAAGTCTCAGTTTCTAGTCTCAGTCAGTCCTGGGCCAATCCACATGAAACAAAAACTGTCACAAAGGTCTACGTCTTCTTTGTCAGTACATATCAACTATGGTCTAATTATTTTGTCATGAAGGTGCCCTGAAGTGGAGACAATATTCGAGAATCTTAGTCATTCTATTTGCCAGTGTAGGACTAGTGGACAGATAATAAATATATATATATAGATTTATTTCGAACCTGCACAATACATATTTTTACATATATCAATATAACAGACAAATAACCCGTACCTGGTTCGAAACGGAGTGGGATGAAGCGAGTGCTTATTTGGTTCCAACCCCATCAGACAAAGTGTTCTAACAATATCATGCAGTAGAATTCTTAGAAATACAACGGTGCATTACAAACAGTTATACAATACTACCACCGATGATATAATCAATCAATCAATCAATCAACGTTTATTTGTAGAGCGCCTTTCCTACACAAGGCAACGCAAAGCGCTTCACATCCCCTATCACATCATGCATAAATCAAACACATTAAGAGCACAAGATATATTAAAAACATTAAAAATAAAATCACAAAAATTAAAAACCTTTAAACATTAAAATCACAGATGGGACTAAAATCATAAATAGTCACAGTGCATTAAAAAGATTAAAGATAAAAACAAAGATGAAAAGATAAAATCATTCAGTTGTATATGCGCGGCTAAACAGATTTGTTTTGAGCCTAGATTTAAAAGATGCCAGAGTAGACGCCTGTCTCACATTCTCAGGAAGACGGTTCCAGACTCTAGCCGCATGAATCTGAAATGCAGTTTGCCCATGTCTAGTACCGACTCTGGGCACTAACAGGAGTCCAGTCCCTGTGCTCCTCAGAGTCCGGGTCGGTTCATATGGCACAAACATGTCGTGGATGTACCTTGGCGCGAGACCATGGAGAGACTTGTACACAAGTAAAGCTGCTTTGAAGTCTATTCTCTGAGGAACAGGAAGCCAGTGCAGAGACCTGAGAACTGGACTAATGTGGTCGTACTTCCTAGTTCTGGTCAGGACTCGAGCTGCTGCATGTTGAATGTACTGCAGCTGTTTTACAGCCTGTTTGGAGAGACCTGTGAACAAGCCATTGCAATAGTCTAACCGACTGGAGACAAAAGCGTGTATAAGAGTCTCCAAGTCTGCCTTAGACACTATGTTTTTAATTTTAGCAATGTTTTTTAGGTGGTAATAAGCTGCTGATGTTACAGATTTTATGTGGCTTTTGAAATTTAAGTCTGAGTCCATTATCACTCCTAGATTTCTGACCTGATTTGAGGGTTGTAGAGAGAGAGCCTGGAGGTGACAAA